AGTAAAGAAATGCTACACAATTATTGCTTGTGTACAAAGCGAAAATAACAAAAAATAAAAACGAAACAGTGGGTTAATCAGAATGTTGGTGTTTAGAAGTAATACAAGAATGATCATAACAAGTAAGAAACACAAAAAGGAAAAAGAAATAGCCATCTATAAAACACAGTTTGTATAGAAAAGAAATCCAATGGAAGTAAGACAAACAAATATACTTATCTTTCCACTATCAAACTCATTTTGCAGACGTGTCTCTATCCAATTTAGCCTTCCTTATTCTTTCATAAGCTAGCATCTATTTCACAAATTACTAAAAAAAGACACATTAGATTAGTTATGAACAAAGTAAATGAAAAAAACCTTCAAGACAACAAAAAGTAACAAAGAAAAAAAAAAGAACGAGTGACATGTCCACTCACTTATTTGACAAGCAAATATATATATATGTGCATACTAGATTGCATGCTTCACATACTTACACAACACATAAAATACTGAAACAAACAAAGTACCCCAAAACAAGCAAAGGACATCGATAAATTTGCTAATAATTATTAACACAAATTGCAATCATACATATCATGGAATCATAACTCCTCTTATGATCTTCTAACCATTAAAAGATTGTCCAATTGATCCATCTCTCAAACTCCAATAACAAAGTTTCATTTGAAGCCATTGGAGAATGAGAAAGATAACAGTATCAATTGACCATTTAATAAATTCAAAATAAATATTAGTTAAACATACATCCCTAAAACCTAAACCCTATATCCTAAACCCCTAAACCCCCTAAAACCCTAAACCCTATCAAACACAAACATGTAAGTAAAAAAATGCTATGTAATTATTGGTTGTGAATAAAACAAAAACGACAAAAAATAAAAAGAACCAGGGGGCTAATCAGAGTGTTGGGGGTTGGAAGTAATACGAGAATGATCATAACAAGTAAGAAAAACACAAAAAGGAAAAAGAAATAGTCATATGTAAAACACATTTTGTAAAAAAGGAAAGCTAATGGAAGTGAGAGAAACGGATATACTTATCTTTTCATTCCCAAATTCGCTTTTTAAAAAGCATCTCTATCAAGTTCAACCTTTCTTATTCTTTCATAAGCTAGCATCCATTCCACAAATAATTGAATAAAAGGCACAATAGATTAGTTATATACAGAGAAAATGAAAAAAGCCTTCAAGAAAACAAAGAGCAATAAAGAAGGAAAAAAAAACAATTGATATGTCCACTTATTTATTCAATAAGCAGATATATGTACATACTAGATTGCATGCGCCACATACTTACATAACATATACAACATTTTATCACACAAAGTACTCTAAACAAGCAAATGACATCGATAAATTTGTTAACCATTATTAACACGAATCGAAATTATACATATCACGGAAGCATAACTCCTCTTATGATCTACTAAGCATTATAAGTTTGTCCAATCGATCCATCTCTCACACCCAACTACCAACGTTTTATTCGAAGGCATTGAAAAATGAAAAAGATAACATAATCAATTGACCATGTGATAAATTCAAAATAAATTAGTTAGACATACATCCCTAAAACCCTAAACCCCCTATAACCCTAAGCCCTACCAAACACAAATACATGTAAGTAAAGAAATGCTATACAATTATTGATTGTGTACAAAACGAAAACAACAAAAAATAAAAAAGAAACAGTGGGTTAATCAGAGTGTTGGGGCTTGGAAGTAATACAAGAATGATTATAACAAGTAAGAAAGACAAAGGAAATAAAAAGTCATCTGTAAAATACAATTTGCAAAAAAACGAAAGTCAATTGAAGCAGAAGAAACTGATATACTTATCTTTTTACTCCTAAATTTGCTTCGCAAACGCATCTCAATCCAGTTTAACCCCTTATTCCTTCATAAGCTAGCATCCATTTTACAAACAACTGAAAGAAAAACATATTAAATTAATTATGTACAAAAAAAATGAAAAAAACCTTCGAAACAACAAAGAGCAATAAGAAAAAAAAAAGAACAAGTGACACGTCCACTCACTTATTCAACAAGCACATATATATACATACTAGATAACTTCATAACTGGTAGATTCCTGCCTTGAAACCCTCCCAATGTTCAACATGTTAGTCCCTCCTCCACCATCTTAATGTATTGTAATCAATAGAAAATATCTAACCTTGTGACACAACAGTTAAAAGGCATTAAAATTTTAACAAATAAAAAATTGTAAGGAAGTAATTGGCAACTGAGGAGTCATAAACCTTAAATGAAGATATATAGGTTATATAAAAGACCAAACCATATTTTTATGAATCATCCCCCCCCCCCCCCCCCCAACCCAACCCAACCCAAAAACCACAAACAAACAATTACTAAGGAAAAATATATATCAAAAGCATTTTAAATAGAAAATATCATATGCATTAAAGTAAATGCTAAAGAAATGGTCACGTACACAGAAAAGAAAACAAGCCCGTATGCCCTACGAAGGTATGCACACATGTCCTCTCTTTCCATAAAATTTGGTCATTAGAACTTGCACTACCAATGACAACAATTCACATCGGTCATTTCTATCCAAAACATAGTTTGATAACTATGAGAAATCCAAACCAAAGAACATAAGTTGATCGTTGAGATCATAGGAAAAATACTTAGGAATTTAAAGGTTAAAGACAAAAAAGAGAAGAAAAAACCTAACACAATCATACCTCAAATCAAACAAAATAATATTCACCGGTAAAAAACTCACCTAAAGGTTACTTCATCACTGCTTAGATTGCTGCCTTGTAAGACTCCCAAAGTTCAACAAGTTAGTGTCTTCTCAAGTGTTTTAATGTACTGCAATCAACAAAGTATATCTAACCTCGTGACACAGTAGTTAAACGGTATAAAAATTTTAAGGAACAAAAAGCTTTAAGGAAGTAATAGGCAACAGAGGAGTCACATACCTTAAATTATGACTGGTCGACCATTTATAGGAAAGATCAAACTATATTTCTATTTCCTCCTTCCTCCCCTCCCCACAAACAATTAGGAAAGAAGAATATAAATCGTAAGTATTTTAAATAGAAACTATCTTACACAATAAAATATATGTAAAGGAAATAGTCACATAAACAAGCAAGAAACCCGTACACCCCACGAAGGTATGCACACATGTCCTCTGTTTCCAAAGCTTTAAAATTGTATCACTAGAACTTGCATAATCATTGACAAAGAAAGAGAAGAGAAGTAAGGAAGAAGCTTACACAATCATATCTCAAATCAAAAGCAAAAAAAATGTTCACCCGTAGAAAACTCGTCTAAGAGGAACTTCATAATTGCTTAGATTGTTGCCTTGTAAGTCTCTCCCAAAGTTCAACAAGTTGGCGTCTCTTCCATTGCCTTAATGTACTGCAATAAATAGGAATATAAACTCGTTACACAATAGTAAAATGGCATAAAAATTTTAAAGAACAAAAAAATTGTAAGGAATGAATTGACAACATAAAAATCACATAACTTAAATAATGAACAATAGACCAATTACAACAGAGACCAAATCATATTTCTATTGCCCCCCGCAAACAATTACTAAGGAGAAATAAAAATCATTATATTTTAAATACAAACTACCATATGCACTAAAATATATGCAAAAGAAAGCCACGTAGCTATGCAAGAAAATAAACCTGTATTCCCGATGAATGTATGCAATCGTCCTCCCTTTCCAAAGCTCATTAGAACTTGCATTATCATTAACAACAATTCATATCAGTCATTCCTATCCAAAGTATAGTTTGATAAGTGTAAAAAAGAGAATTAAAAAGCTTACCCAATCATTCCTCAAATTAAGCAACATAATGTTCACCTGCAAAAAGCTTGTCTAAAGACAACTTCATAACTGGTAGATTATTGCTTTGTAAGCCTCCCAAAAAGTCAAAAACTTTAAAATAGTCACATAATAATAAAGATACACATAATAAAAATAAAAGCACAGACTCATAAGGAGGCACATACACAAACACTTCAATAACATAAAAAAATAGAGTAACAACCACACACACAAACACGTTATACACATCAAAACACAAAAACACTCGAGATAAGAAAGATACAGACATACTATCATAAAAACATACACGCCAACAACCACACGCAATAAACATAAAAACCTATACACCAAAAATAACTGATTAAAATAAATACACATTGTGCACATAAAAACGCACACAATAACACGTTGATTAAAAGAATACACTTACACTAACGAAAACACACCTTCCTCTTAAATCAAAAAATATACACACACTAATACACCAAAAAAATACACACTAACACACCAAAGGCGCACACACACGTACATACACTATTACACAAATACACGCATACGCACACACCACCACTGAAACAAACACACATAAACAAATTAATGAATACATACCCACGCACGTTGTGTTAACAAACACGTATACACCAAAATATAGACATAATACATCAAAAACTATAGACACCAACATACCAAAACACACTATTACACAAACACAAACACAAAATACACCCACACACTAATACACCATCTCAAATCACACAAAAATGCATACATTCCATCACAAGTAGTTTTAACACAAGTTAATCCACCAAAAACACTGACACTAATAGGCAATAAACACACGTTATTACACGAACGCAAATGTGCACACACACTAATACACTAAAAAACACACACATTAATAAAAAATCCATTAATATACAAAAAAATATATCATAAAACTATGAAATATACCGGGGAACATTAAGAATAACATATCATAAAATAATAAAATTAATGTTCCCCGGTATTTTTCCTAGTTTTATGATATTTTTTTGGTATAAGGAAAAGAGTCAGACATAAGGACTGATCCAGAACATAAAGCAAAGGTCGAGGCAATAGATCAAAAAAAGGGGGTAGTATAAGAAGATCGAAAAGAAAGAAGGCTGCAGGTATGCCGCAAAAGAAAAGGAAAATCCTTAATCAGTTGCTAAGCTGAGACTTTTTCCTTCCTCGAAAGAAGCCAAAGCAGCAGAAGAGAATCCTTTTCAGTTTCACCTAAACCAAAACACACACACAACCCAGCTAATCACCATATGTATGCACACCCACACACCGTGTTAATACACACTAATATACCAAAAAACACACACATACTTCTACACCATACAAACAAACACTATCATAAAAACACAAACTAACACATACACTCTAATATACCCCAAAAAAGAACCCAAAACATATGCTCCGTCCACGCACACTAATACACCAAGGAAACACACTCATACACTAATACACCTAAGAAACAGACACACTTAAATTTTGCCTAACGGTGCCAAGGCTTGGGGGCACAAGGCTAGCCAGACCCTTGGTGCCCCTCAACTATCTCCTCCCCTTATATATGCGCTTCATGGGTTTTTCAAAGCGACTTTAGCAGACATCTTTTGAACTAAAGAAACATAACAACGAGAGCCTAGAACATAGCGTCTGGACTTTTGTCGAACGCCTTAGCTACATCAGCATACTTTGAATTTATGAGGTGTCGTGATGCAAGATGCCACCGAGACATGTTCATTTTTGCGTCCAAGTCAATTAGGGTCAGAAAACTAGTGTGTTCTTTTTTCATAACTTACAAATTTAAAGATCATCTAAAATACGATAATTACTACCAGTGAAAACTTTCAAACAACCACCACAATTGTTAAGAAAACACATTATTAATATTTAAAAATGAAAAATAGAACATCTATTCAAAGATATTCAAAAGGAATAAAAATGTAACCATGCAAGGAGCCAACCAGTATGCTCTTCAAAAGTATGTGCAGAGTTGTGTCACTTAAACTTGGATTACCATAACAAAACCGCTATTGTTCATTCGTATCCAAAGCAATATGGTGTAGGATCTTCAAGTTTTAACATCAATGCCTTTGTAGTTCGATAACTTCAAGAAATCTTAAGCAAAGGACGAAGATCGAGGATGATAATTAAGATCTTCACGAGAAGAGAAGAAAAGAAAACGCTAAAAAAATCATATTGCAAAATCAATACTACACAATACCCAAAGCAAAACCAACCTCTTGAATTGCCGCTTTATGAGCCTCCCAAATTTTAATAGGTTGGTTTTTCCTCAATTTTTAAGGTACTACATTCAATAAGCAATATTACACATTGAATCATACCACAAAAATTTAAGATATAAAATACTATAAGCAAGTAATTGACACAAAAATTCAAGTAATTGTCACATTGAGTTATGACACAAAAATGTAAGACATAAAATACTGTAAAGAAGTAACTGGCAGCAGAATAGTTTTATGCCTTGAATAATGACTATTATAAAAACTAAAGCACAAACATGTAGACAAAAGAGACTCATAAAATAACACTTTCAGATTGAAGACCAATTGCACCCATGCTCCCCACACCATTCAGATTATGGGAAACTGACTTACCATATATAGAGTTTTTCGTATTGGAGGTGCTAACCCAAAGAGAGTGACATAGAACCACAAATTCCGAAATAGCTTCAAAAGTGCAGGTTCCACATCTACAGTAGGATCAAAATCTGAACATATTTCAGCCACAACAAGAAGTAGAGGTCCTAGAAAATCTGCCCCAAGTCTCTGCCTGTTTGAAAAAATATATATATTACAATGAAAGTTTATCCAAAAAGTGCAAAATATTGCAGAATCATGTTACCAAGATACACCCCAGCCGTAGGAGATAGCCCGAAGCAAACAAATAATGTACCCGAGCACAGTACTTATCACAAGGGGTTTGAAGCGAATGAGCAAGACACGCAGCAGCTGACCACATCGAGTGAGAGCAATTCAGGAAATCAACAAGCAATGAGCTGAAGAGCTCATCACAAATACTCAACTTTTGCCAGACACAGAATAAACATGCTTCAGCAGCTTCTATCAACAATGCCAAAATTCCATGCAACAACCTCTTCAATGACTTCCCATTCAAATCAAAAGATGAAAGACTCTTGATTTGTAACCCCGCTGCAGCTTGGTAAACCGACAGCTCTGTATTGATTCTAACTTTCAGTAACTGCCCCTGTTCCGCCCAGTCACGCTTCCATATCTGCCAACAAACCCAAACATTTTAACCAGATTTTTGCATTCATCTCTATAGTTTTTTCATCAAGACATCAATAAAATTCGAAACCAAAAGGATGGATACCCATGAATTTTACCTTTAGGAAAGCCAGCATTGATTGGAGTTGCACCTTTGCGATGGCCCTCATTTGTTACAAAAGCTTAAGATCAATCTGGACTTTATCCAATATGTGCCCAATCAGCTTGAAAGCAATCTCCTGTTGTTGAAGGCTCTCCACAGGCTCTTCCTCAAAAGAGGCTACCACTCGCTTGTACATCGCGGAACCGCCTCGTCCTTCATCATTGAACCCAACATCAGCCCCAAATATATCCACATTGCTCTTCCACGCAAGGCTGCCCCCTTTCATCACCAATCCTTTCGACCACAATGCACTGGTCGCCTCATCTGTAACCCTTGAAGGGCGCTAGAAGAACCAGAGGCATTGCTGACCTCGTTTCCTGGACTGTTTCTCTTATTTGATTGATAATGGTTTTCACTGAGTGGCTAACTCTGAGGCGACGACGCTTCAGGTGTTATCAAAACTAGCTCTCTCGGTGAAGTAGGAACCGAAATTTCAAATCGATCTAGAAGAGTGGACACTAATTTGTTTGCATTAGAAAGAAGAATTGGATGAAAATTCTGCGACAGAGAAACCCCCAAATCTCCACCGGCATTGTTAATCGCCGACATCACAATCTCTCCCGTATACTCCGCAACGGCCATGGCAAAATCCGAGGACAACTCACTGGCTTCATTCACATAACTCAAGAAATCAAAAGATTGAATCGCTTCCAAACGACTGTGGCCAAAAAGATTGGGCAATAGAATACGGAATCGACCTAAAAACGACGATGACGCTTCAGGAGTTGTCGAAACTAGCTCCTCGGTGAACTAGGAACCGAAATTTCAAATCCATCTGGACACTAATTTGTTTGCATCGGAAGGAAGAATTGGAGGAAAATTCTGCGACAGAGCATTCAAGAAAACCTTGAAACCCCCAAATCTCCACCGACATTGTTAACCGCCGACATCACAATCTCTCCCGTATACTCCGCAACGGCCATGGCAAAATCCGAGGACAACTCACTGGCTTTAACGTAACTCAAGAAATCGTATGAAGCAATTGAATCGCTTACAAACGACTGTCGCCAAAAAGATTGGGCAAAAGAGACGGAATCGACCTCAAAAACCTAGGACTGCCGGTTAGGGCCTCATGTCGTCGAAATTGGGGCATTTAGAAAGAAATCTAGCGGTGGCGAGTACAGAGTCAATTGGTGGACATCGTCCACAAATCCAAGCCAATTTATCAGCAAATTGCGAAGGATTTTGTGCGATCAGATCGCAGAGTTCGATCATCGACTCCATTGCTTTACAATGCTCAATATTTTCGGAGAGAGGAGAGAGAAATCATCTGGTGGTGGAATTTAGGGTTTAGGGAGATTGATCGTAGGCGGAGGTTCGAACATTGGGACTCAGGAGGTCGATGTCGTCTGCTGAGTTTCTGATTTTATATATATATATGTTGTTGGTTTTGTCTCCTGACGAGATCATTGGTTTTAAATCTCTGATTTTGTTTCCTTTCTCTTTTTTGTTACCGTTTTAATTATTTGCCCCAAATTTGGAAACCAAGCTATACTTTCTTTACCCTCAAGTTTTCTCAATTGACCATTGATTCAATTTTTGTTACTTGACATCGATGAATTAGGTCACTAACTAAGTTTCTAAATTAGAATTTTATTATATTATTTTTTATTTTTAATTAATTAATTTTACATATGTTTTTATTTATTTAATAATACAAGAATTCTCAAAGAGTTTTTATAATTATGATTAATTAACAGGTGTAATAAATTTTTAATTGATTGGCTGTAATTATTTAAATTCTGAAATTAGATTTAAATAGTATTTTTTCTTCCTTTTGGTCTCTATGCTTTGAATCGAGCCCTGATTTAATGTTTTACTATTTACAAATATGTTTAATACAAATTTGGGATAATTTCTTTTAATGAGTTTTATTTATTTTTAACAATTGATTTAGTATAAATAGTTTTTAAACCACCAAAAAAAGATATTTGTAGTTAGAAAGGTAGTGAGTTTTTCATTAAGTCCATTCACCTTGAAATGTTAATCCAAACATCATTTTGTATCTAATCACATTCAAACTTAGTCATTTATTTTTTTTAAAACGTCATTTTAAATGATGTTTTTAAAAATATCATTTAAAGTGACAAGATACAAAATGAATTTAAATACCCACCTTTTTTCTTCCTTTTGTCTTTTTTTCAACCACTGCACTATATCTAACCACTGTTAGACACCTTTTCGTGCTTCTTTCATTTACCTTAGTTCACTATCGATATCCATCAACAACTGCCTATGCCTTTTCTTTTATTCCTTTTCATCTTCTCCAACAAGTCGTCGCCTATAATCACCTTTATTTTAAATTTTAATTTTTCAAATGACGTGAGTTGGACTCAAATATGTTGGGAAGCCCTAAACAATAAAGCTCAATGATATTCTTGATGAAATGACTTCCTCATCTTATTGAACAAACTTGGCTATATATACAGCCTTACAGTACTTAACAGAACAATTGAAATAAAGTTCACGTTTAGCTAAATATCAGCCAACGTGGTTAATGTAAACTGACCACTAACAATCTCAACTAATACTAAAGACTAGGGATTTATTTAACAGAAGCAAGACTCAGTAAACACCTAAAAATAAGCAATAATTATCCTTTCAATCCCTCCCCTAAACTAGTTGTGGTAGATAGTTAGTTTAGTTCAGCTGCCTTGCAAATCCCCATCTGACTTCTAAGCTTCTAGAAGGCATCCAATTTCAACGGCTTTGTCATCACATCTGTAGTTTGCTCCTCTGTTCCACAGTGTAACAACTCAATGGTTCCATCTTTAGCAAGTTCCCTCAAGAAATGGAACCGTACATCAATATGTTTGCTCCTTCCATGCATGACGGGATTCTTTGACAATTTGATGGTGGAGCTGTTGTCACACATGACTATGGTGCCCTTTTTTTGTGCATGTCCCAGCTGCTCCAAAACTCTTCTCATCCACACTGTTTGACTTGCACACTCGACTGCTGCCACAAACTCTGCCTCTGTGGTTGATAGTGTAACAATCGGCTGTTTCTTTGAAAGCCAAGATACTGCTCCAAAACTTAACAGAAAAACATAGTCGGAAGTGCTTTTCTTATCGTCTAAGTCACCAGCATAGTCACTATCTGTGTAGGCAATCAAGTCATCTAAACTCCCTTTCTTGTACATGATTCCATAATCAAAAGTACCCTTTAAGTACCTTAATATCCTTTTGGCAGCTTGTAAATGAATCTCTGTAGGCTTAGCCATGAACCTGTTGATCAAACTAACAGTGTACATTATGTCTAGACGAGTTGTCGAGAGATACATGAGGCTCCCTACAATTTGCTTGTAATATGACTCATTAATTGCAACTCCATCTTCATCCTTGCTCAACTTGCAACCTGGAACAATTGGACTATTGATTGCATGACTGTCCAGCATTCCAAACCACTCCAAAACCTTTTGTGCATATTTCTTTTGGCATATGAAGATACCATCAGACTATTGGGATACTTCAATGCCGAGAAAGAACTTCATTTTTCCCAGATCAATCATTTCAAAAGCTTGCATCATTGAACACTTGACACTGCTCGTTATCTCTTCAACATCACTAGTATAGATTAGATCATCAACATAAACACTTACAATAAGTATTTTACCTTCTTTGCTACTTTTTGTGAAGAGAGTTTGCTCATTTGGACATATTTCGAAACCCTCACTGACAAAGTAAGTTTCGATGCGGCTGAACCAAGCTCATGGAGCTTGTTTTAAGCCATNTTTGGACATCTTTCGAAACCTTCACTGACAAAGTAAGTTTCGATGCGGCTGAACCAAGCTCACTTCCTTGTAGACCTTGTCCTCATAGAGCCTTATGTAACTTGTAGACCTTGTCCTCACTTCCTTTGACCTCATAACCCTTTGGCTGCTCAACGTACACATCTTCATCAAGTTCACCATGAAGGAAGGCTGATTTCACATCTAACTGGAATATTTTCCAGTTTTTTTGAGCCGCAAGAGCCACCACCATCCTCACTGTCTCCATTCTTGCCACTGGAGCGTAGACCTCGGTGTAGTCTATCCCATGTTTTGGCGTGTACCCCTTGGCCACCAAGTGTGCTTTGTGTTTCTCAAGCCCTCCATGCTCATTATACTTGGTTTTATAGATCCATTTCACCCCAACTTTCTTGGCTCCAACAGGCTATGTAACCAACGTCCATGTCTTGTTTTTTTGTATGGACTTAATTTCATTGTCCATTGCCAATCTCCTGCTTGTGTTCCTCACTGCTTCTTCATAATACAATGGATCACTTGATACCATTAGTGCCATATTACTCTCATCTTCAGATAACCCGAGGCCCTCCCCACTAACATAATCCCTCATCCATCCTAGACGATTCCCCACTCTCTTACCAATACTACCTCCACTATCCCCATTGTTTGGAGATTCATTTCCTTTATCACCATTGCCAATCTCACCTATATTTTCACCATTATTTCCAACCCCATCAATGTTTTCATCTCCCTCACCATTATCACCTACTCTTGCATCATCATCTTCCCACTCTAAATTTACCAAAATTTGTTCTTCATAACTCACATCCCAATCCCATTTCCTATTCTCTTCAAATATCATATCGCTACTCCCCACCACCCTTTTAGTAATAGGATTATACAGTCTATATCCCTTAGATTCCTCACTAACACCCAAAAATTCACAAATAGAACTTCTATTGTCAAGTTTAGTCCTTCGTACCTTTGGTACATGAACATGTGTTATGCAACCAAAAAACCCGAAAATGATCAACAGAAGGCTTCGTTCTACTCCACGCTTCTTCAAGTGTGATGTTTTTGACTGCCAATGTTGGGCATCTGTTCAACAAATAATTGCTCCAATTTACCGCCTCTGCCCAAAATGGTTTTGGAATTCCTTTCTCTGAGAGCATTGCACGAACCATGTTCATTACAGTTCTATTCTTCTGTTCAGCCACGCCATTTTGTTGAGGGGTGTAGGCAGTTGTCAACTGCCTTTTAATGCCATTCTCCATGCAAAAATTGTTGAATTCAATTGAGGTGAACTCACCTCCCCTATCTGTACACAGACACTTGATGGGCAAACCTGTCTCATTCTCCACCATTTTCTTAAAACACTTGAAATGACTCAATGCTTTTGACTTCTCAATCAGAAAATACATCCATGATTTTCTACTGTAGTCATCTATGAAACACAAAAAGTACCTTTTGTTGCTGTTGGACATAGGAGTGATCGGTCCGCAGATGTTTACATGGATGAGACCCAATATTTGACCTGTTCTCCAAGAACTCTTCCTAGGTATAGGATCATGGTGATGCCTGCCAACAATGCAATCTTCGCACAACTCATTTGAAGCAGTGAAATTGGGAAGGCCACACACCATTTTCTTGCTGTGCAAGGTCCTCAAACCCTTGTAGCTTAAGTGTCCATAACTCCGATGCCAATGCTGAGACAGATTCTGTGAGCTTGTGTGAAGACACTCTTCATGTTGTTGTTGGGACTTTATTGGTGATTGGACAAACAAGATGAACATCTTGTTTATGCTCATGTCAATCTGAATAATCAAGCCATTATAAGGATGAAAGATCTTGCATACCCCTTCCTCAATCAGAATTGCCAAGCCTTTCTCTTGAAGCTGCCCTATGCTCAGGAGATTATTTTTTAACTCTGGAACATAGTACACTTCAGTAATAATATGGTTAACACCATTAATTTGAAGCTTTACATCACCTTTTCCTGTCACCTCCATCTTGGTGTTGTTGCCCAGCTTGACTGATTGCTCGAAGCTCTCATCCAATCTTGAGAACATGACGTGATCCCCACACATGTGATTGGAGCACCCCGAGTCAAGAAACCAAGCATATTTTCTTCTGGCCTCTTACAGCTCTACATAGGACATCAACAACATCTCACCCTCTTCTTCAAGCTCAGTATAA